CACCCCTAACATTTGCACTCTGTACATAGCGCACCTTTAAACTCTGTACACAGCACACTTCGGAACCCTGTACTTTGTACATAGACACACACCTGAACCCTGCACTCATTACATAGCACACCCCTAACATCTGCACTCTGTACAAAGCATACCTCTGAACCCTGTACTTTGTACATAGACACACCTGAACCCTGCACTCATTACAGAGCACACCCCTAACATCTGCACTCTGTACATAGCGTACCTTTAAACCCTGCACTCTGTACACAGCACACCTCTGAACCCTGTATATTGTACATAGACACACACCTGAACCCTGCACTCATTACATAGCACACCCCTAACATCTGCACTCTGTACATAGCGCACCTTTAAATTCTGCACTCTGTACACAGCACACCTCTGAACCCTGTACTTTGTACATAGACACACTGAACCCTGCACTCATTACTCACACCCCTAACATCTGCACTCTGTACAAAGCGCACCTTTAAACCCTGCACTCTGTACACAGCATACCTCTGAACCCTGTACTTTGTACATAGACACACCTGAACCCTGCACTCATTACATAGCACACCCCTAACATCTGCACTCTGTACATAGCGCACCTTTAAATTCTGCACTCTGTACACAGCACACCTCTGAACCCTGTACTTTGTACATAGACACACACCTGATCTGTGCACTCATTACATAGCACACCCCTAACATCTGCTCTCTGTACCTAGTTCACCCCTAACCCTGCACTCTGTACCTAGTGCACCCCTGAACTTTGTACATAACGCACTCCTGAATCCTGCACTCTGTATGTAGTATAATCCTGGATACAACCAGCCCTTTGAAGGCAACCATACTGCCGATTTGGTGATAAAATTGAGTTTGACACCCTGATCTACATGATGTCAAACAACCAAAGACAGCTGTCTGTAGTTTCCCCATGGCAACAACATTTAAAAAATTCCTTTAAAGCAGTGGTTCCCAGCCTTGTTGTCTGTTGGTTACCCCCTTTCGTAGCCCATTTTCATAAATTGTGCCACCCCCTTCCCAAATCAATGTGCATGGTGTGGCAGAGTGCTGCCACTGACGTTGGTGGATGGATGGTGACATCCGATCCTTCATTCCTCCTGCTTCTGCCCAGTGACACCTCCGATGGTGTATACTTGGGAACTTTTGTAAATCATTGGGTTTGAGAATGGGGAGGGATAGGGGACAGAGTAGAGGGTGGGGACATTTTCAGCGATTCAAAGCTCAATGGTTGCACCATGCACTGAAATAGTGCCACGTTAGTGTCAGTAGGATGAAGAAGAGCAGTGGGGAAGGTTGGGATGGGGGGCTCCTTGGAGTGTAACATATTACAGAAGTTGATCCAAAGTCATCTTGGGGCCTATTTGCAGATGAAGCAAGTGTACAGCCTGCTGGTTCACCTGTATCTTTCAGTTCAGGAAAGGCTGCAGCAGTGCTTATAGCGCTCTGTGGAGAAGGTGGAGCTGGTCTCACCTAATGGAGGCATCTTTGTGGACTGGTGGTTGGTGGATTCTGGCAGTCCTTTGAACCAATTCTGGTGCAGCAGGCAGTCCTTGGGTACCAGTGCCTGTTTGGTTCTGCACACTTGTCTGTCTCCCATTTGGCCTGTCCATTATCTGCACCTCCTGAAGTGTGATGTCCCCATAACCAAGCAACTATTACCCAACTGTGTTTACAAACTTGCAGCCACACCTCCTGAAGTGTGCCCCCATAACACAACTCCCCAAGTGTTTACAAACTTGCAGTCCTGGTGGTGGCCCATAACCAAGCAACTATTACCCAACTGTGTTTACAAACTTGCGGCCGCACCTCCTGAAGTGTGGTGGCCCCGTAACCAGGCAACTGTTACCCAACTGTGTTTACAAACTTGCGGCTGCACTTCCTGAAGTGTGGTGTCCCCATGACCAGGCAACTATTACCCAACTGTGTTTACAAACTTGCGGCCGCACCCCCTGAAGTGTGGTGTCCCCATGACCAGGCAACTATTACCCAACTGTGTTTACAAACTTGCGGCTGCACTTCCTGAAGTGTGGTGTCCCCATGACCAAGCAACTATTACCCAACTGTGTTTACAATTTTGCGGCCGCACCTCCTGAAGTGTGGTGGCCCCATAACCAAGCAACTATTACCCAACTGTGTTTACAAACTTGGGAACGCACCTCCTGAAGTGTGGTGGCCCCATAACCAGGCAACTATTACCCAACTGTTTATAAACTTGCAGCCGCACCTCCTGAAGTGTGATGTCCCCATAACCAGGCAACTATTACCCAACTGTGTTTACAAACTTGCGGCCGCACCTCCTGAAGTGTGGTGACCCCATAACCAACCATTACCCAACTGTGTTTACAAACTTGCGGCTGCAACTAGTGAATTGTGGTGGCCCCATAACCAGGCAACTATTACCCAACTGTGTTTACAAACTTGCGGCCGCACCTCCAGAAGTGTGGTGGCCCCATAACCAAGCAACTATTACCCAACTGTGTTTACAAACTTGCGACCGCACCACCTGAAGTGTGGTGGCCCCATAACTAGGCAACTATTACCCAAATGTGTTTACAAACTTGCGGCTGCAACTAGCGAAGTGTGGTGTCCCCATGACCAGGCAACTATTACCCAACTGTGTTTACAAATTTGCGGCTGCACCTCCTGAAGTGTGGTGGCCCCATAACCAAGCAACTATTACCCAACTGTGTTTACAAACTTTCGGCCGCACCTCCAGAAGTGTGATGTCCCTATAACCAGGCAACTATTACCCAACTGTGTTTACAAACTTGCGGCCGCACCTCCTGAAGTGTGATGGCCCCATAACCAGGCAACTATTACCCTACTATGTTTACAAACTTGCGGCCACACCTCCTAAAGTGTGGTGACCCCATAACCAGGCAACTATTACCCAACTGTGTTTACAAGCTTGCGGCCACACCACTGGCTTTTTCTGTCATTACTACATTTTTTTTTGCACACCCGTTAAGGTCCTGGTGTGTACCCTTGGTGAAGAACCGCTGCTTTAGAGGATAATTGTAGCTTTAAAACACAGTAACTCTCATAAAGTGACACTGTTACTATGAAGAAAAAAAAATTACTGGTGCTACTGACACTTTTGGGTGTGTCGGATAGCATGTTCTTCAGTGCACACTGTGGTTCCTCCTGCAGGCCACTATGTCATTACTGTGTCTTGCAGTGACATAGCAGCCCTTGGGAGGAAACACATTCACCAACAACTTTGTAAATACAATCTCTTCCTTTCCCTTTGTTATGAAAGTTTTTTTTTCACAGGCCCAGGGCAGTGTACAGAGAGGAGCTGCCAGTTTGGGTCAGCATATTAACAAATAATGATTTTTATATGTCCACATTTAGAAGTGGAGAAACCAGGGGCGTCCCTAGGGTTGGTGTCACCTGGTGCCGAAACACTTGGTGACACCCCCTCCGACGATCCCCACAGGATGGATCGCATTGAGCATAATGGATCAGAGTGCGATCCATTATCCTCCCCAATCCGCATATCCGATCCATCCTGCGGGGATCGTCAGCTTGCAACCTATACGGGGTTAACTGATCTGTCCACGAGCTCCACGAAAAGGTACGTTTTAAAGCAAGCCGACGATCCCCGCAAGATGGATGGGATCTGCGGATTGGGGAGCATAATGGACCGGACTCTGATCCATTATGCTCAATCCGCAGATCCGATCCATCCTGCGGGGATCGTCGGCTTGCAACCTATATGGGGTTAACTGATCTGTCCACGAGCTCCATGAAAAGGTAAGTTTTAAAGCAAGCTGCTGATCCCCGCAAGATGGATCAGATCTGCGGATTGGGGAGCATAATGGACCGGACTCCGATCCATTATGCTCAATCCGCAGATCCGGACAGCTGTACTGTTTTTTTTTGGGAATAAACACTCCTTGCCATAAGGATATTAGACTATCTGGCCTCCTTTTGTTCTTTGAGCTCCGGTGGGAGCCATTTACATCTGCAGAGCGGCCATACCCAAACGTGGCAACACTATCAAGCAGTGAGGTGCATTTGACCAGATCTGACCAGACCCATATAAGGATCCTTGATGTCCTGAGAGTATCTGCTTTAAATGCGCATTGGGATTGCGTATCTGGTGAGTGCGCAATCCTTATATATCTATCACCTCATCCACGGATCCAGCCATTGGATTTTTTGAAGATCATTTGGGATCTTTCCTGATCACACTATAGACTGTATTTTGGTTTAGTGTCCAATCACCTATAGTCACCATTAGGTGACACTTTTACGTGCATTTTAATATTGTTTTATTATGCTGTTTTATTCAACTGTATTTTTTGCATAAAGATGTTTATATGTCCTAAACACAACATTTTAGCGCTGCACCCTGCTTTATTCTAATCAGAAACTACTAGTTCTTCAATTTAGCTCATCAATTTCACACCATGCAGTTCCAAAATCACCAAATGAGAACAGCAGAAAGACACATCTAGAGGGATCCCTCATGTCTTCCTTGTTCTCAGTCCTGGTCTAGGGGATATTGATCTCTTCATCAGACTGCAAACTAGTGTAGATTGCAGGCATGTTCTATGTAAGCAAAGCAGCGTTTACATTAACTGTGACCTGTGATGATGGCTATTGAAGCATAAGAAAAGAAAGGCAGAGGTAGACTACATTTGCAAAGTTGTTTGGTGTCACTGAATAGTTTTTTAAAAGTACATTTGAAGTTTGAAATGATTGCATCCTTAACATATTAATTAATTTAACTAGACAGTCTGTAATTTCACTGCCCCATCTTATAATGTCAAAAGTGTCAGACGTCACTGACTCTCAGCAGTCAAAGGTACAGAACCTTGAAACGCAGTGCCCACTGATTAGAGGAGTGTGTAACCTGCCATTTTGCATTGGGGGGGTACCAGCACTAGAACCTATTTCTGTGTAAATTTGGATAGAATTATATGGTGACACATTTAATTTTGTTTGTCACTGTGATATTGTAGGTTTCTCTTTGGAGAGCGTCCATTTTGGTGGGTCCATGAATATGGCTTACTTTATGGTCACAAGCTCAGGCAGTTCCCTTCCACCTGTGAAACTGGTCCTGGTGAGTACATTCTGCAGACATACCCCCCGCTTCTGTGTATGGGGACATTTTAAGGACAATTAATAGCATTCAGCTTGCTGCTGCCTTTTTTAAAGGCATAACGCACCTTTTTAAAACTGTAATAAATTCAACTAGATTAGTAAAATATAATATATGCATATATTACATTTTTGAAGCCTGCAGAGCATTGCACCAGCAATCAGTGCACCATGGGCACAAAGCACAGGCTCCTGCATTGTTTACATCTCAGCCCCAGGAACGTACAGCGGTACAGACCTTCTGTTAGCCACTTGTCCTTCAGAGGATTTACCCCCATTCCTGACCAGGCCATTTTTTGGGATATGGCGCTGCATTACTTTAACTGACAATTGCGCGGTCATGCGACACTGCGCCCAAATTAAATGTATATCCTTTTTTTCCCCACAAATGGAGCTTTCTTTTAGTGGTACTTGATCACCTGTGCGTTTTTTTTTTTTTTTGCACTATAAACAAGAAAATACTGACAATTTCGAGAAAAAAAAAACTATATTTTTTACTTTTTGCTATTAAACATGTCCAGTAAAAAAATTTTAAAAAATCAAATTTCGGCATAAATTTAGGGCAAAATGTATTCTTTGCGAAATAAAAATCCCAATACGTGTAAATTAATTGGTTTACGTGAAAGTTATAGCGTCTACAAATGGGGGTATATATACTGGAATTTTTTTTTCTTGTTTATACTAGTATTGACGGCTATCAGCGACTTATAGCGGGACTGAAGCGGGCATTCTGACACGGGGGGAACTGACTAACTGTCACTGACATCCTTAGTGACACTAATACAGTGGTCAGGGCTAATAAAAAGCACTGACACCAAGGGCGGACTGACCATTTGAAAACTTGGGCACTGCCCGAGGGCCCGGGGTCAGTAGGGGGCCCCATGAGATGCCCCTGGTACCTTTTTCCATAAGGCTTTTTTGAGTTTGGGCAAGGACACAGGGGCCCCATGGTCCCCTATTGCCCGGGGGCATCATGAGTTGTCAGTCCACCCCTGACTGACACTGTACTAATGGCACTGGGCAGGAAGGGGTTAACATCTGGGGCAATCAAAGGATGAACTGTGTGCTGTGTGTGTGTTTTACAGTGTCAGCACATTACTTTGTATTTCTCTGCTAAACAGAGCAATGTGCTGGAGCTGATAGGGGAGAGAGCTGTATTGTTTACATACAGACCTCTCCTCTGTCAGTGATACTCGGCGATCACCGGGTGTCGGCGTGGAATCACCGGCCGAGACCTGGTGATCGATAGCTGAAGCCATCAATGGTGGCGCGGGTAGGGTGCGCACGCATGCCCCCTGCCCGGAAATGCAAAATCATGTATATACATGTGATTTTGCGCAGCCCTGCCGCTCTGTAGCAGTATTGCTGCAATAGGGTGGCGTGCAAGCTGTTAAAGACTTGGAGAAAGTAAACGGTGAACTACAAGTGCAGTGAGGCCCCTTTGCTGAGGTGGTAGACAGGACTGTGAATAAATGACATGGCTGTGCGGTTGGAGCTACGCACAGCCGCACTAAATTCAAAAGAAAACCGGATGCTTCAGGGAGAAGGAATATTTGTAGGTTGGCCATATAACATAATTAGTGAAATCCTACTTACTATAAGGGAGGGAAATGCGCATCATTGACCTCATTAAATTACAGATGTCTAGTAGTTGAAAGGAATTCCGCTAGGGAGACAGCATAGGAGAGCAAGTGAGTATTGCAGCCTGAGTTGTTTTTTTTTTAATCTATTGTATACCCCTGCTGGGGACTATTTAAAAATAAATGACATAGGTTGCTTGAAATGATAACTCCTCTCTGCTATTAGATTTTATTATGTATTTTACCATTTCAGGAAGCCCTTCAGGACACTGCATGATTACAGGAGCAGCTCTCTGGCCCATGGTAATGTTCCTCACCAACAACTCAAAAAGGTAAGGGTTACTGCCAGATGGTTTTGTGATTTGAAAAGTAAGCAGGGTGTGCAAGAGGAAAGCATCATTTTTTTCAAAGTATATTCCTGAGTAAAAAAAAAGAAAAATGAAATATATTTATGCCAGGCATACATGTTTTCCCATGTTTTGTTTACCCCCTTGACGCCAACTGTATGCAAATATGCGGCCTCTCGGCGGCTGGGCCTTGACGCCGAGCAGCCGCATATTTGCGTACAATTTGAAAACATATATATGCTGAGAGCGCGCGCTCCCAGCACATATGTCGGTGTCTCACGGAAAGGTCCTGATCTCCCCTTGCGATCGGGACCTTTTCCGATCATGTGACAGTGAATCACCGCAGACACATGTCCCTAAAACCCTGCCCCGCCTCCCGGTGTCTGAAATTCCTTAAAGGGCCGGACTGACAACTCATGGGGCCCCCGGGCAATAGGGGATTATGGGGCCCCTGTGTCCTTGCCCAAACTCAAAAGCCTATGAAAAAGGTACCAGGGGCATCTCATGGGGCCCCCTACTGACCCCGGGCCCTTGGGATGTGCCCTAGTTTCCAAATGGTCAGTCCGCCCCTGGCCGGGAGGCGCCAGCATGCATAGGTTAAAGTGCTACAATATAGAGAAATACCTGTTGATTAGTCAGAAATCCAGTGAGTTCCTGACTGCTTGTAGTGAGTTGTCAATTCTGCCTCTACTGCACTGAAATCCTAAGTAGTGTTTGTCAGCCCTGCCTCCTCATTTCCCTCCTGCTACACTACAGTACTCCTCCCCTCTCCTCATCACCATAACGTAAGCTACCGTAAACCGGTAGGGACTTAGGCATGACTGACAACATTGCTTGGGATTTCAGTGCAGAAGAGGCAGTGTTGTCAGCTCACTACAGGAAGTTAGGTGCTCCCTGGATTTTAGGCAGATGGACCTGTATTTTTCTGAACTTGAAAGAGAAACAACACTGGCAAATTTTGCATGAATTTCAGTGATGTACTAAACACTTATAAGGTGTTTAAACTATATTGTAAAGAGTGCCTGTTGGCTGATTTTATAATCTGCAGTCTCTTATCCTATATGTATACAGCTGGTTTGTGAAAACCCCTGCCCATTATAGTCAGTTCAATTCAGTATTCCATGTTCCCATGTTGGAGATGAAAAAGGTTGTACCTGGCTGGTTGGACTGCCCATTTGATTTAGGTGGCTTAAACAAATCCGTCACTAAAAGAAAAGGAAATGAAAAACAAGCCGCCTTTAAAAGTACAGTAAGAATATTTGCCAGTGACTTAAGTCACTGTGCTGTTGTTCCTCCTGCAATCTTTGCAGGGGGCAGGATTGTGATATAGTGGCCGGCAAGTGGAACCTCAGCCCACACATGTAACACATGTGAGTGTCAGATTCTACAGATTCCTGGGTAGCTCTGTGTATGTTCATGTCTTACTTGGAATAAAGGTTTGTTTGTATGAATCTGTAGTAATAATACTTTTATCTTTAACAGGGGCATTCACCGCTATGTTCCTCTCCTGTTGTACATTTTGCTGATGTCAGGAATTGCCATTTCTAGGCTCCTCATCCTAGCACATTTTCCTCACCAGGTCCTGGCTGGGATTCTTTCTGGTAAGGTATCTGAAGTTGAGCAGAGATAGGCATGGCAGGTGGCATAGAAATCCTGTAGAGATATCTCTGGCAAGTAGGAGGAGCTGGAAATTCTATAGAGATAGCTGTGAGAGTGGCTGGGAAATCCTGCTGAGATAGCTGTAAGAGTGGCTGGGAAATCCTGCGGAGATAGCTGTGAGAGTGGCTGGGAAATCCTGCAGAGATAGCTGTGGCAAGTGGAAGGAGCTGGGAAATTCTGCAATGATCTTTTGCCCCAATTTTCCAAGATATCTAAGTAAACCAGCCAACCAGTGGTAGGCACCCAAATTCTACGGAGATAGCTGTTGCAGGGGCTAGGAAATCTTACAGAGATAGCTGTGACGGGGCTAGGAAATCCTACAGAGATAGCTGTGACGGGGCTAGGAAATCCTACAGAGATAGCTGTGACAGGGCTAGGAAATCTTACAGAGATAGCTGTGGCAAGTGGAAAGAGCTGGGAAATTCTGCAATGATCTTTTGCCCCAATTTTCCAAGATATATAAGTAAACAAGCCAACCAGTGGTAGGCACCCAAATTCTACAGAGATAGCTGTGACAGGGGCTAGGAAATCCTACAGAGATAGCTGTGACAGGGCTAGGAAATCCTACAAAGATAGCTGTGACGGGGCTAGGAAATCCTACAGAGATAGCTGTGACGGGGCTAGGAAATCCTGCAGAGATAGCTGTGACGGGGCTAGGAAATCCTACAGAGATAGCTGTGACGGGGCTAGGAAATCCTGCAGAGATAGCTGTGACGGGGCTAGGAAATCCTGCAGAGATAGCTGTGACGGGGCTAGGAAATCCTACAGAGATAGCTGTGACGGGGCTAGGAAATCCTGCAGAGATAGCTGTGACGGGGCTAGGAAATCCTGCAGAGATAGCTGTGACAGGGCTAGGAAATCCTACAAAGATAGCTGTGACGGGGCTAGGAAATCCTACAGAGATAGCTGTGACAGGGCTAGGAAATCCTACAAAGATAGCTGTGACGGGGCTAGGAAATCCTACAGAGATAGCTGTGACGGGGCTAGGAAATCCTGCAGAGATAGCTGTGACGGGGCTAGGAAATCCTGCAGAGATAGCTGTGACGGGGCTAGGAAATCCTGCAGAAATAGCTGTGACGGGGCTAGGAAATCCTACAGAGATAGCTGTGATGGGGCTAGGAAATCCTACAGAGATAGCTGTGATGGGGCTAGGAAATCCTACAGAGATAGCTGTGATGGGGCTAGGAAATCCTACAGAGATAGCTGTGGCAAGTGGAAGGAACTGGGAAATTCTGCAATGATCTTTTGCCCCAATTTTTCAAGATATATAAGTAAACCAACCAACCAGTGGTAGGCACCCAAATCCTACACAGATAGCTGTGACGGGGCTAGGAAATCCTACAGAGATAGCTGTGATGCGGCTAGGAAATCCTACAAAGATAGCTGTGATGGGGCTAGGAAATCCTACAGAGATAGATGTGACAGGGGCTAGGAAATCCTACAGAGATAGCTGTGGCAAGTGGAAAGAGCTGGGAAATTCTGCAATGATCTTTTGCCCCAATTTTCCAAGATATATAAGTAAACCAACCAACCAGTGGTAGGCACCCAAATTCTGCAGAGATAGCTGTGATGGGGCTAGGAAATCCTACAGAGATAGCTGTGGCAAGTGGAAAGAGCTGGGAAATTCTGCAATGATCTTTTGCCCCAATTTTCCAAGATATATAAGTAAACCAACCAACCAGTGGTAGGCACCCAAATCCTACACAGATAGCTGTGACGGGGCTAGGAAATCCTACAGAGATAGCTGTGATGCGGCTAGGAAATCCTACAAAGATAGCTGTGATGGGGCTAGGAAATCCTACAGAGATAGATGTGACAGGGGCTAGGAAATCCTACAGAGATAGCTGTGGCAAGTGGAAAGAGCTGGGAAATTCTGCAATGATCTTTTGCCCCAATTTTCCAAGATATATAAGTAAACCAACCAACCAGTGGTAGGCACCCAAATTCTGCAGAGATAGCTGTGATGGGGCTAGGAAATCCTACAGAGATAGCTGTGGCAAGTGGAAAGAGCTGGGAAATTCTGCAATGATCTTTTGCCCCAATTTTCCAAGATATATAAGTAAACCAACCAACCAATGGTAGGCACCCAAATTCTGCAGAGATAGCTGTGATGGGGCTAGAAAATCCTACAGAGATAGCTGTGATGGGGCTAGGAAATCCTACAGAGATAGCTGTGGCAAGTGGAAAGAGCTGGGAAATTCTACAATGATCTGTTGCCCCAATTTTTCAAGATATATAAGTAAACCAACCAACCAGTGGTAGGCACCCAAATCCTACAGAGATAGCTGTGATGGGGCTAGGAAATCCTACAGAGATAGCTGTGATGGGGCTAGGAAATCCTACAAAGATAGCTGTGATGGGGCTAGGAAATCCTACAGAGATAGCTGTGATGGGGCTAGGAAATCCTACAAAGATAGCTGTGATGGGGCTAGGAAATCCTACAGAGATAGCTGTGATGGGGCTAGGAAATCCTACAGAGATAGCTGTGATGGGGCTAGGAAATCCTACAGAGATAGCTGTGGAAAGAGCTGGGAAATTCTGCAATGATCTTTTGCCCCAATTTTCCAAGATATATAAGTAAACCAACTAACCAGTGGTAGGCACCCAAATTCTGCAGAGATAGCTGTGATGGGGCTAGGAAATCCTATGGAGATAGCTGGGATGGGGGCTAGGAAATCCTACAGAGATAGCTGTGGCAAGTGGAAAGAGCTGGGAAATTCTGCAATGATCTTTTTCCCCAATTTTCCAAGATATACAAGTAAACCATCACTGTGGTATACACCCAAAACTAAACTGTCAGTTTAGGGTAGAATGACAATGTAATACTACATAATTGTGAGCAGGACAGCTATTGCAACCTGAAAGTAGAGAGAATTCTAGTTCATTCCTGTTTTATGCCACCATTGAAAACAGAAAAAATGTTTTTCTTCATGTTAGTTACCTTAAACATTATCCATTTTACTGATCCTAGGTGTGCTGTTAGGATACATCTTGAATCGTAGCGTTCCCCATGACCGCAGTTTTATGTTTTATACGCTGGCTTCTCTGTTCCTGCTGCTCGGGGCTCTTCTTGTATACTGGGGAATGAGTGCATTTGGGGTGGACCTTTCTTGGTGAGTACCAGATGTGTTAGACTGTTATCCCTTGGCTCATCTACAGTATCTGAACTGGAGGCCACATCCAGCCAAAGTAGTGTTGGTGCAAACAGTGATGATGTGGTAACCAATTAGATTTTACAGCACAAAGGTTTACTGTTTTACCGTGCGTTGCAGTAACATGCATTTGACCAAAGGTTACTGCAATACATAAGTCTGAAGGGGCCCTGAATGTGATGGTAGCTGTAAGAAGCTCTTTAGTGCAAGAGCTTTAATACACATTGGGCATTATATATGTAAGAGAAAGCAAAGATCCTGCAGGGAGTGTTTGGGAATTCTGTTTTTGCATTGATAATTGATCAGTGAAAGAGGTTCCTAGGTTACAAGGGAATGATGCATTATAGTAGTGCTCAGGGGCGGACTGACAACTCATGGGGCCCCCGGGCAATAGGGGATCATGGGGCCCCTGTGTCCTTGCCCAAACTCAAAAAAGCCTATGAAAAAGGTACCAGGGGCATCTCATGGGGCCCCCTACTGACCCCAGGCCCTCGGGCAGTGCCTGAGTTTCCAAATGGTCAGTCCGCCCCTGGTAGTGCTTGAACAAAACACTGGGGCTGGCTTCACACCTATGTGCTGCGTTAATTTGCAGTAAAACACTGGAGTAGATTTACTAAAACTGGAGCACTCAGAATCTGGAGCAGATGTGCATGGTAGCCAATCAGCTTCTAATTTCATCTTGTTTAAGTAAGCTTTGGCAATAAACCTGGAAGCTGATTGGTTTCTATGCAGAGCTGCACCAGATTTTGCACTCTCCAGTTTTAGTAAATAACCCCCCACTGTGTTTTACCAAATGTTACTGCACTTCCCTCTGTCCCTGCTCCTCTATTCATGCTAAATGGCACCTCAATCACAAATACAGTAAGTGAATAAACACAAATTGGCTAGTGGCGCTGTGACCAGCTAGTGCATGGAACACCTTCTACAGTGACAATGTAAAAAGTGAAATGAAATTAAATTTAAGAGTCATAAATAATCCTAAATATCAGTCAATCCACAAAATGGGCAGCACAGTGGCTAAATGGTTAGCACTTCTGCCTGGCAGTACTAGGGTCGTTGGTTTGAATCCCAGCCACGGCACCACCTGCCTGGAGTTTGCATGTTCACCCTGTGCTTGCGTGGGTTTCCTCCGGGTACTCCAGTTTCCTCCCACACTCCAAAAGACATGCTGGTAGGTGAATTGGCTCCTGTCTAAATTGGCCCTAGTATGTGTATGTATGAATGTGAGTTAGGGACCTTAGATTGTACACCCCTTGAGGGTTAGGGACTGATGTGAATGTATTATATATATGTGTGTAAAGTGCTGCGTAAATTGACAGTGCTATATAAGTACCTAAAATAAATGTGAAAATAGAAAATTCCCTTATATTATGTGGGCAGAACAGTGGCTAAGTGGTTAGCTCTTCCGCCTGGCAGTACTAGGGTCGCCGGTTCAAGTCTCAACCATGGCACCACCTGCCTGAAGTTTGCATGTTCTCCCTGTGCCTGCGTGGGTTTCCTCCGGGTACTCTGGTTTCCTCCCACACTCCAAAGACATGCTGGTAGGTGAATTGGATCCTGTCTAAATTGTCCCTAGTATGTGTATGTATGAATGTGAGTTAGGGACCTTAGATTGTACGCCCCTTGAGGGTTAGGGACTGATGTAATATACAATATATATGTAAAGCTCTGCGTAAATTGACGGCGCTATATAAGTACCTGAAATAAATAAATAATTATGTGGATGCCATTTCCAGTGCTTTACTCTTCCTACTACTTAGTGTTCCAAATCAAAATCCCCACATGTTCATGAGACAGCCTTCCCTTTTAGTTATGCACTCACCAGACCCACATGCCTTCCATTCTTCCACCGCCGGACCTCTCAAAATGGCGCTCCCGCGTCACTTCTGGTTCCTGTTACTAACGTCACTTCCGGTCGCCGCACAGCCTCACACTGTCGCGTTTCATCACTAGGGACACGGGAGTGCCATTTTGAGAGGTCCGGCGGTGGTGAGAGCACAATATTCACATCAAATGTCATTGGAATATGATAAGCGTTTTTTCTATTACACCTTGTGAGTGGATTTTTAAACTTATTTAGTAAAACGGAGAGTATTGGTTACTGTACCATTGGAGTATATCTTTGACTTTTTCATAATAATGACATCTGGTGGAGAGGAGTAAGGAGGTTTATTAAGTCTATGACGTTTACATGGTGATACCACAATTGGAGATTTAACCAGCGATACATGCCAACCATGATTGTGGAAGGCATGTGGGTCTGGTGAGTGCATAACTTAAAGGGAAGGCCGTCTTATGAGCATGTGGTGATTTTGGTCTTGGATACTAAGTAGTACGAAGATTAACCACTTCCCGACCGGCCGTTGCATATAAACGGCCGGACGGTGGCAGTGCAGGGTCGGGTGGCCGTTTATAAACGGCCTCCCCGCACCCTGCTTGTGTGCGCTCCCTGGGAGAGTGGAGCACCGCGATCCGGTGCCCGCTGTGTCCTCCGGACACAGTGAAACACCGATCGTCGGACGGGACCTCTGTACGAGGTCCCGATCATGTGATCACTGATTGGCCAATCAGTGATCACATGCAAAGTAGTAAGCAAGATGTCACTTGTGACATCATTGCTTACTACGTGTGAAATCTGTGAATGATCAAAGAGGTCACATGGTACAAGGCTATTCACAACAGCCTTGTACCATGTGACAAGCTGTGACCAATCACAGCTCACTCAGTACTTCTCAATGAGTGCAAGAATGCAGCTAGAGAGAAGGAGAAATGATTGCTTTTACATCCTATATGGGTGTAAAAGCAATGTGTAAAAAAAAAAAAAATGTTCATCACCCCCCACAAGTAGTACAGTGTCACCATGGTGACACTGTACTGCTAGGGTGACAGTATGTAAAAAAAAATAAAAAAGTAATAATATAAAAAAATAAAATAAAAATGTAAAAAAACAAAAATGTTTAAAAATTATGATTTTTGGTTATAAACTAATTTGGATTTTTTTTTTTACTAAAAAGATAACAGAATAAATTTTGGCAAAGATTTATGATGAAATATTATTTATTTGCAAAATTTTATTTAAAAAAACACTTTTTTTTCAAAATTTTTGGACTTTTTCATTTACATAGCAAAAAAAAAAAAAATCCCAGCAGTGAATAAATACCACCAAAATAAAGCTTTATCGGTCTCAAAAAAATGGTAAAAAATTAATTTGGGTACGTACAGTGTTGCATGACTGCGCAATTGTCATTCAAAGTGTGATAGCGCTGAAAGCTGAAAATTGCCCTGGACAGGAAGGGAGTAAAAGTGTCCGGTCTGGGAGTGGTTAAAGCACTGGAAGTGACATCCTCATGATATAATGGACTTTTCTATTTTCATTGTTGTGGATTGATTGATGTTTATTATTTATTATTATTATTATTACATCAAGTTTATATAGCGCCAAAGGGTTTGCTCAGCGCTGTACAATAGAGGGGGGGACAATACACGAAACAGTACAACAACAACAAACAGCACACGAGGGGTTAGAGGGCCCTACTCTTTCGAGCTTACAATCTAGGAGTAGGATTATATGATTGTTTAATTTAACCTCTTCACACCGGCAGCACGCAAATGTGCGGCCTCCCGGCATCTGGGCCTAGACGCTGATCGGCCACACATTTGCGTTCAATATACAAAATACATATGTGCTGAGAGCGCGCATGTACGGTACTCACCGAAAGGTCCCGGTCTCCTCTTGCGATCGGGACCTTTCCCGATCATGTGACCGCCGTGATGTCACATGACAGTAAGCCCCGTCCCGCCCACCTCCCGGCACAGAAACTCCTCTTCACGCCCGGATGAAGGGGTTAATTTAATTTCGCTGGGTCACAGTGCAACTAGTGTTTATTAATTTGCAGTTCTTTTATTTCAGGTAGCAGCAGTGTTTAATATTTGTCTATTATCACTAAAGAGAGAGAATTTTATTTATATGTTATATTTGAGCACGTATTCGGCAAGGTTTTTATGCAGGCCATAGACAGGTCGTTTATCGGCCAAATTTTCGTCCACACGAAAAATCGGCCAATATTCACGCCGTTAGTGGGGCCAGCCCATCAGCCATTTTTCGTGGACATTGGTGGCAGCATCGGTGACAGCAACGACCGATTTTCCGTTTATCGACCAATAAACGGCCTATCTATGGCCAGCCTTATTATTGGTTGTTTCTGAAGATATCACAAATACAGTAAGGGCTGATATATTTACTGGACACAGTAGTGATATGGAGGTCAGCAGGAGTAATGGAAGGAGGGGCACAAGAGATTGACACTCCTGGTAGTGTCAGTTTCCTTCCAGACTAAGACTGCCCTTTCCCATAGGGTGAAAATGCGGCTGTACATTTTCACTGTAAAATAAACAGCTTTGTCACCCTGTTAAAGGATTTGAAAAATTAAAGATTTACTGGCAGGATCAAGAGGTAATAAAACTGTTGAGGAGCAATTCTAAAAAATGAATATTGTTGCGTTTATGCTGGTAACAGACTGCAGCATGTATGTCATTTTTATAGTTCCACTTTAATTCTTTATATGTCTGACTTGTGTTAGGTCCATTCACCTGGCCACTAAATGGTGTTCTAAATCAGAATGGATCCGCCCAGAGACAAGACCATTTTCTTCCGTTACTAGGAGTTCTGGGAATGCCCTGGGATTGGGATTTGCCCTTTGTTGTCCTCTCTACCAGAAGTTGCATAGAAAACCTCCAGGCTGGCGTGATCGAAGCATTTCTCTACTACTGTCTGTCCTCTTCCTGAAACTCCAACAATCTCTTCCACTACCTATATCCCCACCTCTCCTATACTACTCACTGAACTTCCTGCGCCATGCTCTCTGCCCCTTGGTTGTCATTATTCTGGCTCCATACTTGGTTAGGGGGCTTGACTCAGAGGGAACGCACAAGAGAGACTCATGAGACCGTATGTGACTCTTCCTATTATAAGTGAAGGGAAAACGTGATGCTTAGGTTCTAGTTATGTTCATCTGTTTTACCATTAAATTACAGGGAGACTTATTTATTTACTGTTATTTTACTGGATGGAAATACCTTCAAAATGGTTCAATTGATTTTGGTTGTAGAGTGAATGGACAGATTGCCAGACCATTTAGAGCCGCCATTTCTTTTTCTGAACTCCATTCTTTTTCTGCTCTATCCTTCAGTCTGGTGGTCTGAAGGATTCCTTTAAAACTTATGAGGCTGGCACCTTATTTTGAAAGCAGAGACAGGTAGAGGTGCACCAAAATGAAAATTCTGGTACCGATATCGAAAATTCAGAATGCATGTGGCCGAAAATCGAACTGAAACCGAAATGTCTGCGTATATGGAGCTGGGGAGGCTCCAATTTTTTTTGTTTTTTTTCTACTTTCATATATATATATATATATATATATATATATTTTTTTTTTTTTAACTTATGGTTTTATTGCTAGCACATAGGGGACCAATAGTCCCGTATGTGAGAACATATGAGGGACAGGTCCTCTTTGTAGGGTTGAGGGGTGAGGGGCAGTGTGTGCAAGGAGGGGGCAGGAGAGGAGCAGTGTATACAGTGAGGGAGCAGTGTATACAGAGAGGCTCCTTTACTGGCTGTCACTATATGTCGGTGCCGATTTTTAAATGCAATTGCCGACTTTTTTTCACTATAGCTCACAGAATTAGCTGTCACTTTCCCCAAAGCTAAAAGAAACTTTGTTTGTTTATCTCGGGGAAGAAACTAAAAGGAAACATGGTTTCTTTTTCACTTGGGGAAATAAAATAAAATGAAACGTTGTTTCTTTTATCTCGGGAAAGAAAATAAAAGGAAACATGGTTTCTTTTAACTTGGGGAAATAAACTAAAAGGAAACATTGTTTCTTTTATCTTGGGAAAGAAAAAAACTATAAGGAAACTTTTTTCTTTTAGCTGGGGGGAAAGTGACAGCTAATTCTGTGAGTTATAATGAAGAAAAAAAAAAAAACCAAAAGCTGGTAATTACATTTAAAAACCGGTACTGACATATAGTCACAGCCAGTCACTGTATATATTGCTCCTCTCCTGCCATTCTCCGCTTTTATCTTGGGAAAGAAACTATAAGGAAACTTTTTTCTTTTAGCTGGGGGGAAAGTGACAGCTAATTCTGTGAGTTATAATGAAGAAAAAAAAAAAACAAAAGCTGGTAATTACATTTAAAAACCGGCACTGACATATAGTCACAGCCAGTCACTGTATATATTGCTCCTCTCCTGCCATTCTCCGCCGCCCCCGCCCCCTCCTCCCCTCACATTGGCAGAATGCCAATAGGTCTATTTTTGGCTGATATGTTTCGGTGGCTGACATTTCAGTGCATCCCTAGAGTCAGGAGAACAAGTGGGGGAAGGGGGGGGGGGGGGGACTGTCAGAGGAACTTCTTAATGACACTGGATTTTCACAATGGAGTTACAGAGGTACATTATATGACCAAAGGTTTATGGACATCAGACCATCAGACCTATTTAAACTTGTTGGACATCCTGTTCCAAAACCCATGGACATTACTATGGAGTGCTCCCCTTTGTGGCTCCAACAGCTTCCAAATCCACAGGATTTTGGAGTGTGTTGGGATTTGTGCCCATTCAACCAAAAGAGCATTTGTGAGGGATCAGGCACTGAAGCTGGAAAAGATCTGGCTTGAAATATGGTTTTCAATTCACCGCAAAGGTGTCCTATAGGGTTGAGGTCCTCAGGGCTTGGAGTTGACTTTGTTGAGAAAGAAAACCACCCTTCAATCAAAATGTAAACAATTATATGAGGGGAAAGATTTTATTTACAGTAGATGTTTCTTTATAGCTCTATGTACTGTATACACATTTACAATGCAGACTATTTTGGGCAGATGATATTTCAATAATAAAGTGCCTTTGTTCTCCATAGACAATGGAGTCAGCCTTTTTTTTGGGGGGGGGTGCTTAATCAATTATTCACCGAGGCAAACGCTGCTACATAGGTATATTTGTACTCATCCGTGAGAGTCCCGCTAGTAGTTTTTGTTGCAAGGCTCCTTGTGCCTGAATACTGTGGCTGGCAGGGGTGGACTGACCATTTGGAAACTCAGGCACTGCCCAAGGCCCGGAGTCAGTAGAGGGCCCCATGAGATGAGTTTTTGAGTTTGGGCAAGGACACAGGGGCCCCATGATCCCCTATTGCCCAGGGGCCCCATGAGTTGTCAGTCCGCCCCTGGTGGCTGGCATCAATGTTTACCTAAATAATGTATTTCCTATACACAATACAGATCAAAACTCAACCTCTGATAAGCTTTAAGACAGCAAAGTAATTTCAAAAATAGTTTTCAGTCTTTTTAAATCTTCAGCTTTCATTAAAAGTACACCTGGCAATCCTTCCATTTGTGTTCCTTTGTTGCCACCCTGCCACATGTGCCCCGGTTGGAGACTACAAGTATGCCATCACCATCAGAGAGCTGAATCAGAGCAATGATGTCAACTCCAGGCTGCTATTAAATTGGACTGCATGGGTTATTTATTTATTTATTATTTATTTCAGGTACTTATATAGCACTGTCAATTTACGCAACACTTTACATATATATTGTACATTCACATCAGTCCCTAACCCTCAAGGGGTGTACAATCTAAGGTCCCTAACTTACATTCATACATACACATATTAGGCCCAATTTAGACAGGATCCAATTAACCTACCAGCATGTCTTTGGAGCTAATGGCTTAATTGCTAGAAGAGAAAACATAAGTACAAATACTTATTCCTTGCTACCCCAGAAGCTGGTATTCCTCTCCGATGTCTGACACTCTGAAATGTAGGTGGGTACTTATTGCCCTCACATACAATGCAGGACTACTGGTCCTGCATTGTACATGGTGACGTCAGAGCCCTGTGACTGGTTGGGCAGCAAAGTGGTAACGGGGCTGCATGCACATAGCAAAGGACGCCTATGAGAGCGAGGAATAAGGTAAGTGTGATCATACTGAGGTATAGGAAATAATAGCCATAATCATTCTCTATTACCATTATTTTAGGACTAAATACACGAAACGTGTAAGGAGACAAGAAGACATGTTAACCTTTTTTAGGGAACCAAACATAATAAACATTGCAAGTCTAAACTTGTTCAAATCGTGAGAGCATAACGCACAATAAAATATGGGCTGCTAGATTGTAGCATGTGATCAGAGGGAAATATAGGAACAGTAAAGAAATTGTATCTGAAGGGTCTACTGGTTACCATGGAACACTCCCACACTCCTCAGACACCTTTATCCAAGACGCCATCACGTCACTTCCGATATGCCGCACCGTCACGCCTTATGCGGCAAACCGGAAGTGACGTAGATCCGTAACAAGAAGTGATGTGACGGCGTTCTGTCCGACAGTTCCGGAGGTGGTGAGAACACCATGCGGTTTCTGCTGATCACAAATACTTGCAATATGGGCTTGTTTTGATTTTATACATCGTAAGTGCAATACTTGGAGCAATAAAGCGATTTATCTTGGGTAATACACCATTGGAGCGGATTTTGTTCTTCCCTTTTCATGATATGGTGGAGTATAGAGTATTAATGGAGTGGATATTTGAACAACCTTGGCATTTGTTCATTGAGTGAGCTAATTCTGGAGGAACTCCCAGTATACACCAGCGGAAGCCCTCTTCTTTACTCTATATTAAAGGCAAATTTGATGAGTGCACACCCAAGTGGGGGCGCACTGCGAGCACTGTGTATGGTTGTTAACAACGTATGATTTTTTTTTTTTCATCACTGGACTTTATTTATTTTTTTGTACCACTGGACTTTATTTTTGTGTTATCACTGTGTTTGTTTTGTCCACTATAGTGGGTTTTTAGTTTTGCATCTGGCGTAATTTAGTGACATTGGATTAAATTTTACATTGGTCACTTTGAGATTTAGTGTATTTTTTCTTGTCTGTTGTAATATCTTTTCCTGTGTATATTTTTAGCACAGGTTTTCTTTTTATTTTATGAAATAATATTTAAAAATCATTAAGCGTATCTCAAATGCACTAAGTCAGAGTTGAAAGCATCCCGTCTCTTTTGAAGAGCACCAGTATAATGTAAATTTCTGAAATATTCCTGTCTGCGTGGCAGCAGGTGTTACAGACATTTCTTAATGGTCAAACTTCTTACAGTGATTGTGGCAAACGTCTTGTGCTGCCATTAGAACACATGGTGGCAGCTGCTTTAGTGTGTAATAGGTTAACTGTGTAGTTAACCGACTCCATTGTCAATTACTCTCAGTCACTAAAAGAAGAGTAAATATGCTTTCCTTTCCAGCTGCTGTTTGTTGAATTGCCACTGCTTTGCTGCTTGGATCAGTTGGAAGGATGGATCGAATAGCTGTTTCCTCTATCTCACCTCATCCAGCTTTCCAATTGTTAAGTGTCTGCTACCCCTCTCTGCCAGCCCCTCCATCGGCCTCTGCTCACACAACAAATTACATTACAAATACTAACAACTCTTCAACATTTCTTGGGTGCCGCTAGGGAGGTCATTCCCCACCATTGGAAATCGACTGCCATACCTTCCCTTTGGGAATGGGCCACTGAGGTAGACTATGTAAGCAACCTAGAACATCTGTTGGCACAGAAGGCAGGAAAGGAAGAGCAGTATCCTCACACCTGGACATCATGGTCCATGTTCTACCATTCAGAACCCATCACTACCCAGCCGTGACGGAGTGTATCTGCCCCCTGTTTCTGACTACCTGCTTTACTCCCCTCTCTTCTACCCCCTTTATACTCCATGTCATTCTGTACTTGAACCCCATTCTTTTACTTCACAAAAATTATCACTGATGTGATCCTTAATTTAGTGATCCTTCCAGCTTACGCATCTTTTTTTTTTCTCTGGACCTTCGAAGATTTTCCTTGTTTCCGAAACTTTACTTTCTCAATGTGACAAGTGTGAC